CAAGTCGCCACTTCTCATCTTCCAGCTCCACAGCTACTCCGCGTACTAAAGTTGTACTACGCAGTCGCCAGTTCTCAGCTTCCAGCTCCACAGATTGCTCCGCGTACTAAAGTTGTACTACAAAGTCACCAGTTCTGAGCTTCCAGCTCCCCAGCTACTCCGCGTACTACAGTTGTACTACAAAGTCACCAGTGCTCATCTCCCAGCTCCCCAGATACTCCACGCCTCTCGCCCGCATTTCGCGCACTCGACACGCACGATCTCCGCAGAGGGTTGCGCGGGCAGCCGGCAAATCCCCCTCTCGCCTGCATTTCGCGCACTCGACACGCACGATCTCCGCAGAGGGTCGCGCGGGCACCCGGCACATCGCACTCTCGCCTGCATTTCGCGCACTCGACATGCACGATCTCCGCAGAGGGTTGCGCGCGGACCGGACAAATCGCACTCTCGCCTGCGTTTCGTGCACTCGACACGCACGATCTCCGCAGAGGGCTTGGCGCGCAGCCGGCAAATCGCACTCTCGCCTGTATTTCGCGCACTCGACACGCACGATCTCCGCAGAGGGTTGCGCGCGGACCGGACAAATCGCACTCTCGCCTGCATTTCGCGCACTCGACACGCACGATCTCCGCAGAGGGTTGCGCGGGCAGCCGGCAAATCGCACTCTCGCCTGTATCGACACGCACGATCCCCGCAGAGGGTTGCACTTTCGGTTGACGCTGTTCGTCCCGCCCTCCGCCTTTAAGAGAGAATTTATAAAGTGGGGAAATGTTTTTTCATTAGGACATCTCCCGTGCTAGTCAAAGCATGCTTGCGTACCCATCACTTGTATACTTACACTGCGTGCTTGCCGAGTGTCAGTGTGTATGTGTAAGTGTCAATGTCGAAGTGTCAGTGTATGTAGTGCGACTGTAGTGGAAGTGTCAGTGTGTAAGTGTAAGTGTCGAAGTGTCAGTGTTCAAAGGATTTTCCGGAAGAACCCTTCGCAATGCTTTCGGGAAAAATCAAAACATCCTGAACCCAAAAACTGCAGGGCAAGGCATCGATTCCTTCCTGCAATGTCACCAGGTTGGCCGTGACACTGGGGCGCCCCCCTCTCAGGACACTCAGCCTTCCAGATAAACTCTCAAGGATCGTTTGCTGACTTTGCGGATGCCTGCAGTGTGAGATCCAAAAAATCATTTCTTTGGGACAACGCGAGGTCAGCATCCTCTGAACCGTGTCCATCATGGACTGCTGATACTCCAAGATCCAGCGTCCTCGTCACCGTCACTGGCGACAGTCCTCAGCTTGTAGGGCCTCTTCTGAGAATGACTCGGGTCCTTCAGCCTCATGGGTCATGAATGCATTGGCCTCATAGGTCTGTGTGTGTCTTGAGGAGGTCTTTCCTGAGTGTATCTGCGGGAAAAATTGCTCCTCAGCAGCAGCCTCTGTAGTCCAGTGATCTGGACGACGCAGCAATCAACCGCTTCTTGTCTTCGGCACTCAGAGCAGAATTCCTCAACAGGATGGGGGCCCTGAACTCATCTCATCCCTCCGCTCAACAACTCCTCAAACTTATGATCATGCCGTAGATTGCTCGATCGAACCTCTCGAACTTGCTCTCCATGTTGGATTTGCCCCAGATTCCCCCCAGCTGGCCTTGACTCCTTCTAGAGAGTTCACTCAAAGAACCCTCGGATCCAATCGGGACACCCTCTGAAATGCAAACCCTTCACACATGCTGCGGAGGCCAAAGCTGGGCGAGAAACCCAACCTTCCTTGTCCAATCTGTCAGGCCAGCTTCACCAGGCTTAGACTGTGGCAGCTGACTCCAAGGTAAGCAGATCTGGAATCAGCGGGATCTGTTTCCTGCTTTCCCTCCCTGGAGCCGCTCTTCTGTCTTCTCAACGCTGTCCAGCGTTCAACTGACGAATCAATGTATGCAATGTAAAAAAGCCAACTCAACTGAGCAACTTGTGCAATGACCGGCCAGCAATGTATCAATGCCCAAGGCTTTGCGCAATGCACGACGCACCCAACCAAGGCAGCCTTTCAAGCTTGCCCAATGATCGACAACCGAGCCCTTTAGAGCGGAACTCCGCGACCAATGTGGGTTTACCACACTGGTAGCCACACCAACAATGGCTGCAAAAATGCTGTTTTCAGCCGCCTCTGCCTGAACGATCGTTGGTTTTCCGGAACTTTCGGTGCCTCACCGACTGCTATGCGGGACAAGCCACCACCAAAGGCCCTCCCTCAGGCCACCCATCGTCCTCGTGCCTCTCATGGGCTACGGAAGGGAACATGGTGGTTCCTCAGGTCAAGTCCATGTTTTGACATTCACAACATGCATACATACATACATCCATACATACATACTTACTTGCATTGCATTGCATTGCATTACGTTACATTACATTACATTACATTACTTACTGACATGACATGACATGACATGACATGACACAACACATAACACACATGGAGGAGTTGCTACCCTCCCTCTACACTACCCCTCCCCCTCAAGGAAGGCCTGAGCACCTAATAAGGCCTTGCTAGTTACTGTGTAAGCGCTATTCTTAGCCCTTTTCAAGGCCTCTCTTGCAAAATGCAAAGTCACTAGCTCCACGAACCCACCAGCTCTCAGAGCATGGTTGGCCAGGGGAGGGCCAGTTCAGCGGGGACCACTTCACACTTCCATATACCATAACATAACACAACATACATTGAATACATTGCATGCGCTTAATGCATGCGTGCAGGCATGCATACAAACAATACATCACAATAGAATACAATACCAAACCTTACGTTACGCACATTACATTACACACTACACTACATTCCATACATACCAATACAAATGCACACTAATACAACACATACTACACATGATTTATGTATACGTTTGTTCTGCCTATATTGTGTCCATCCGGTCAAACTTCAAGTTCCAGGCAGTGTTTCCCGCCCTCATCGGGCGGTGGTGCGGCTGCGACTGTCCTGGAGCTGAGCGCTCAGCGCGAACCGGGGTGGCTTTATGTCTTCTGGGCCGGACAACGGGTGTTGACAACTTTGTGTTCTTTCACCCCGCCACAAGGGCCAGTCTCCAAAGTCAGAGTCCTCTACTAAAATCAGAAGGGCATGATGAAGCATGAGTTCCTGCTGTTTCAGGTGGGCCTGCCTGAAAAGGGTGCAAAAGTGATACATGCTTGCTGGATTCAGTCAACAGGCAAGGAATCGAAGTCTCCATCCTTTGGTCCAAGTGCCAAAGGGGCAATAGCGCTATCAGTGACGCTTAGCGGAGGTGCGCCGTTTGCTAGTTGAAAACTACCCCAATTCCCGTCAAGAAGCAGCCGATAGAAAAACAGGACAGTGGCCGTCCGAAACGTGGTCGCTAAACCTCTCTGAAATTTGGCTTGCACCCCTTAGAACATAACTTTGTGTAACATCCATGCTCCTCTCGCTGAAGAAATGCTCCATGCTGGGTGAGCCACTGGATTTGCACGGCCTGTTTTCACTCTTCTGCTAGGGATTTACCTGGAGCCTTACCAGTTCTGACTCAACACAGGATTCTGCGAGTAGTGTGGGACCTGTGTAGGCTCCAAGTAGGAGAGAGTTTAACTGCCCTCCCGCAAATCTCACACATCCACATCTCCTTCCTTCATCCCGGTGGAGTTTCACCCACTCTAGAATTTTTCCGAACTTGTTTTACAATTTGTTTAGAGTGAACATTCTGCCATAAGTTCGTTGGCTGATTCTGAGGGCAAGAGTTGTAGGTCATCTCCGCAAGCCTAAGTTTACAACTTGTACATCTGAAGGAAGCATGTTGAAAAACAGGAATTACTCACATTTCATGGAACAATATGGGTTCATAATCTTCCCCCACTCTCCACATGCAGCTCCAGCTCTGCTGGACGTGGCGAAATGGGAGGCTCAATGCTAGGTGAGCCAATCAGCGGTGTAGTGGAAGAATGCCAAGTTCAGAGCTGCCCAAACCACATAATTAAAAGAACACACCCCCTGCTCAAGAAACCGCATCCCTAAAGGTTCTGTTCGACACCGTCCGATAACGATACGGAGAGTCTGCATCACTCCAATATAAATCCACATTCCCATCAATGATCTTTGGTCTGTGTTGCTTTGGAGTGCTCCAAAAATGCCGGCATTCTCCTTGTAGCTTCGAATTCGAGTGCCATGCTTCTGGTTCCGCAGCGGCGAAATGAACAAAAGGCCTCCCTGTCCTCCTGATTGGGACACCACCAACAACAAGGGGTCGAAAAAAAGGGTAGTTGCCATTCAACAGGTTGCCGTGCAAACTAACTAGCTGCTAGCTGGGCTGAAAGGGATGGTCGTTGCCCCACGGTTCCAGTTCTCAAATGATCCACAGCCAGAACAAACACCAGGAAACCCGGTTTGAAGGAACACGCCATCCAACCTTGGAAGGGCAGGCCTTTGGCGGAAAAACCCACAGGATCAAACCACAAACCCCGAGAACCAGAATCCGACGAGCTGTTTTTCTTTGAAAATGTCCACGGAGGGGTTTGTGTCTTGCCTCGGGACGTTGCATGGTGTGAGGCTCTGGCCCCTGCCCAACTCAGAAGCTTGTGGTCGCGAACAAACCTTTTACCATTCGGTGCCAAACTTTCCACGAAATAGGTGGATGTTCCACTAACAGAAGCAAAACGATCAAAACGGTAGTTTGTGAGATTTATTGAGTTACCACCTCAGAACAAACAGGCGCGGAAAATGCGACACCAAAGGATGGATGCGCAGGCGTCGAATTCGTCAAGCTTGGCTTGAAAGCAGGCTTCTTTGATCAAAACCCGCAGGAAACTGGATTTACGAGACTTCTCGATGTAGCACAATTCTAGCTTCAACAAGCCTAATTTGCTTCTTACATGCAGTTTTTTCCTCTCTCTCTCTCGTTCTCTCTCTTTGACTCATGCAACGAAAAACATCGGCAAATGCCATCATGCCCTGGTTTACTCCAGTCTTGCACAGCCACGAGGCCCAACGCGCTCCATGGGCGGCTCCGACTCACTGCGGATCACGGCACGAGATCCTTGGTCGCTTTTGTCGTCGGTTGCGAAAAGAGGAACAGTTGAGAAAAAAGAAGAAACACATGCTTTTTCCCCAAGCAGGGTGTCCACACTGAGGGGTACTTACGGTAAGTTTAAAAGCCCAGGTTCAATCAGGGTGCTCTCTGAGCGCCCTTGTTTTGGCTGCGCAGGCTCGCACAAAAGTTCCGTGCTGAAATCTCCAAACGCAATTTCTCTGTGCAGGGTCGCGCGAAAAGCTGGCTGCGGGAGGGTGCTTTGACGGAGGTGTGCTCTCGCCGTGCGCATTTTCAGACTTGGTGACCAGTTCTCATGACAGGCGAAAGGGAAACCTCGTGAATTCGTGGCAGGCGCAGTGCTTTGGAGACGGTGGTGGTCTTTGGCGTGGTCTGTTTTCGTGGCAGGCGCAGTGAACTGTGACTTTTGGACATGTGGCTCGATGTCAGAAATCGTGGCAGGTGCGGTACTTTGTGGACCTTGAAGTGCAGATTTCGTGGGAGGTGCAGCACTTTGTGGATCTTGAAGTGCAAGTTTCGTGGAAGTTGCCGTGCTTTGTGGACCTTGAAGTGTAAATTTAGTGGCAGGTGCAGTTCTTTGTGGACCTTTCCCGGCTTGCGAACCCCCATCCACCACCATCAGCACCCACCACCATCACCACCAACACCAGGATCTTCACCTTCATCACCGCCATCACCTCTCTGGACCCGAATGCTTCTAGATTTGTAGACTTTCTGCTGCTACACCTCTAGACCTCAAACACACTGTTTGGGGTCTCTTGCCGGGATAATTTTTCATTTTTACTTTTTCTTTAGACCTTTATTATTTTCTCCTTTTTTTCCAGAAAAACAGGGACGAAAGAAACAGGGACCACCAACAATTTAGCACCACGAACATTCCTCCACTGGGTATGGTTTCATGGTTCTGGTGATTTGGTGGTTTGGTGCTACTATGTCACTATGTGCTGCTCCAAGTGGATTCCTGGACACTTAGAAGCAACCCACACGAGACAAGTCATCGTTTGTTCAGTCTCCTCCCAACCTAGACCCTTCAAAGCGAACGCATCACTTTTCTCGGGATGCCATAGGCATGGGGGCATGACACCCTGAGTCTGGTCAAAATGATCAGGCAAAGCTTTGGTGGCGAAACCCCGGTTCCGAACGGTTATCTCTTCACGAGGCCGTAACAGAACACTTGGTGACCAAAGACCTGAGCAACTGGAATTCACTTCCGGAGTACCCCACCATCATTCGAGCGAATGTTCGCTTTGAACAAACGCAAAAACTCAAATGAGTCTGTACGAATCATACGAACACAAGCCGGGCGCAGCCTGGCCTAGCCTGAGCGCCTCCCTGCAGCTCAGGCCACAGGGAGGGGTGGGTGCTCAAACCTGGCGTTCGCCGCACGTCTCTCGCCAAAATGGCAGCGTCGTACGACGAGTGATATCTAAAAATTCATTAATGAAAAATCTTCAGTTGAACAAGGAAACTGAACAGCTTGCTATTAAGTGGCTTCCATGTTCCAGCCAACCTACCGACAACAAGGAACCCACTTAGAAGCAACCCACACGAGACAAGTCATCGTTTGTTCAGTCTCCTCCCAACCTAGACCCTTCAAAGCGAACGCATCACTTTTCCCGGAATGCCATAGGCATGGGGGCATGACACCCTGAGTCTGGTCAAAATGATCAGGCAAAGCTTTGGTGGCGAAACCCCGGTTCCGAACGGTTATCTCTTCACGAGGCCGTAACAGAACACTTGGTGACCAAAGACCTGAGCAACTGGAATTCACTTCCGGAGTACCCAGGCCCCTCACTTCGCACAAGAACATTTTAACCACTCACGAGACAGGGTTGCGAACGAGAGCACTCGGCCAACGAGCAAGGACCGTCTTCCAGCCGACGTGTTCACCACGCATCAAGTCATCTCTCGAGGGCGCATCAGCCGGATTGGCATCTGTTGCGACCCGATCTATGAAGACTCGAATCCGGAGCTCTCGAACAAGATCCCAAAATACCGAAATGAGCAGGCAGAGATCTTCTCTTGAAGAATACCCTTTTATCAAGCCGACTCAACGACTTCGGAATCTACGAAAAGTAAAAGGTCTGAAAAACGAAGGCGATCGGCAAAAGTGGTCAAACTCACGATCGGTGCAATCATCTCCACTGGAATGATCTGCGTCTTTCGAACAAGCCACGTCTCCTTCAGCCTCTGTGGAACGACCTCAGTGAACTGAAGAGGATCCATGGACCTGCGATCAAAAAGAACAGCGCCTATCCGATCGGGTTTCACATCGACTTCTCTGGGGTCAGGGGAGAACCCATCCGTGAACAGGACAGCGTCTGCTCGTTTGTCTGCACAGAAATCGATCGTCCTGGGTGGACCCTCACGAATCAAGATCAGCCACTGTTTGAGCGACTCTTGCAAAGGTCTGTCCAAAGAGAAACGATCGTTTACCGACACTCGAGCGTACTGTCTTTCCGAGATGGTCTTAAGAAAAGCCCTCCCCGTCTTGCCCCAAAGCTGGCTGGCTCCAAACATGAGCTTACCTTTTAGCTTACCAGCATGTCCTGGATCCAGCGTTCCCGAATCAAGGATTGCTTGCAGCTCTTCAACGAGCTCAGTCTTTCGATCGGCCTTAATCTCCAGGATCCAGTCGTCTAGATTATATGTCACACCGAGACTGGTCGGACGAGAGGTCAGTTGCAGCTTCTTGGCATCAAACCTTGCACCCAACATCCAGTGAACACTGACAGACGTCTGGAAAGCCGATTCGATCGATTCGACTGGCTCGAACCCATACTTGTCGTCATAAAAGTTGAAGGCTTTGAGATTGAACAATTTCAAAAGAATTTCGTTGATAGCAGCCGAACGGCGGTTGTAGTTGTAAACTGCCGAAACAAGGCCGAAGGAATGACCAACCATGATGAAGAACACTGGTACACCTCGAGAGGGGTCCTTCAAGCATATGACACTGAATTTACGATGGTCAGGGCGAATGGCCACTTGCCGATAGGCCCCACCCGGCCAGCTTCGAATCAGGCAGAGCCGATCTGAGACACCTGAGAGCCGCTACGTTCACATCAGTCGAGGGCAATTGCAATTTTTCAGTGATCACTGTTGTCTGGTTGATCAAGTTAGTGGTGGCGCTGTCGCACCCCCGAACCTTATTCTTTTGAACAACTTCAAATCTCTGGGTTGGGATCCAATCATCACACTTCAGGAAGTTCGAAACCTCTTGACAAGAACCGAACGGCCCAAGGGTCGAACCCTCCTGAACGTCCTCCAAAGTGGCGTCCCAAATCTTCTTTAAGTTATCCGACACCGGGACACCTTGCACTCTAGAGACAATTTTTGAACGAATCTCCCAGGCCCTTGAACAAGCATGTTGAACCGAAACTGTCTGTTGGGGCTTGTCGAACGGCGGCCAACGACGCGAACGAGCAATTGGACCAACGATCGGAAACCCTTGCAGTAGAAGATCCGGTAGGAACCTGTCGATCGAGTCGCAGGCTTCCAACATTTCGTAGTACAGAGCAACGTGACAACAGGCGCCGAGTTGGCACGGTTGATCATCCGGCACTCCGCGAAGCAAGGTCCTCAGCGCCGGATCCGAAACGGCCCGGAGCAAACGATCGGTCGCAGGCAAAAGTTCGAAAGCCCTGGCCTCCCACTTGGACAACACTGTCATGCGAGTGGCCACAACAGAAGACACATTCTGAGCTAAGTTGTTCACTGCACGCTTCATGTCTTGATCAAGTTCGACCTCCTCACTCAATGGATGTGCAATCTGAAGTGCCCAAGCGATAGCTACCCCGGGTTCCGTTTCGACATGGAGCAGTGGCTTAAGAGCACCACGTTTGAGCTGGTAGCCTGAGGCCTCGGCCTTCAGTGCTGAGAGGGCCTGACGATGCTCCTTCCAACGGAGTGGTTGCCCGAGCGGGCGCTTTCTGCTGGGGGTGGAGAGCCTGAAGCTCTGCATGAACTGAAGGCCACGGTCCGGCCAAATCAGCCGCACCGCTTGTGCAAAGCGTTGACAAAGCTGATCCGGATAGACTTGTGCCAACTTCGTGCGAAAAACGAGCTTCTGAAAGAACTCGGACCACACCTTACCTTTGAGCACTTCATGCACATGAGATCCATCACAACGAACTGTCAATGCGAGCAGGCAAGCGTGCGACACAAGTAGGGTCGTCGGCTTCATGGACGGAGCCCCAAACATGCACTGATCAAGCTCAACCAACCACGCACGGGCGCGCCGAAGCAACGAGCGAATGGCCGGCACTTGCCAGAGCAAGCTCTTAAGGGGGTTCTCGATTGAGAAATCGCCACCTCTGGTGAAGACTGCCAAACATGCTTCGACAGACCTTGCAACGAACAAGTTCCCCAAGAACACAAGGGCAGCATTCTCAGCCGAAAGTGAGCTCAGACCCAGCGGCTGGGCCGCCGAGCGTAGAGGGGGTGGCCCCCCGTCAGCCTTACGAGCCGCTGAAAATGTGTTACATGGCGTGCCACAATGGACGAAACGAACCGCTCCTGCGCAGATCAACTCCATGACAAACGACCATCGAGCTTCATCAACAACATCAAATGGTGTTGGCACTTCCGAGCAGATCGTAACATCGATCGGTGGCAAGGTGGGCACACCACAAGCACGCATGGCCTTGGTGAGGCTGGCAGTTCCTGAAAAGATCTCCAAGAAGAAAGGTCCGGCTGCACACACTTGAGCGACATCTCTGGGCACGTCAACCCATGACAGCCAAGGCGAGCAAGAATCAGACACTTTCAGTTCTGGATCCAAGACTTCATGCGTGTCCGGCGGCTCGACCTGTTGTGGAAGAGGGGGCTGAGCCGGGGCCCCCTCTTCTCTTCGAGCAGTGCTTCAGTGGTTCGCGTGCCACGAGTGCTCCTTGCCGCACTCGACGCACAGATGAGCACTCTTACACTGATCACCAAAGCGACAGCCTAACGAACAGTTGAACCAAGCACACCGTTTCTTCCCTTGGTAT